AATGATTTTCAATAAAAAAATATTTTTATTCTTTTAACGGAGAAGTATTTCTATTTTTATTACGTTAAATAATTTTATATGATTTAAAAAAATGAGGTTGAAGTTTAAGAAAACTTCAATAATTTTTTTCTATTTAATTTTTTTTTAAAGATAGAATGGTCATGAAATTTGACATTTCAAAGTATATAATATCTGAAAAGTCATAAATAAAAAAGATGAAATGATTTTTGAAAAGGTTTTTTAAAATAAGCAGAGAGATGAAAATTTAAAAAAGAAAAGAACAGAGACTGTATATTGTCTAGATGCAGATATGGTTGATGTGAGTTGGGTGGACGAAGAAGAGCGAAGAGTGTGAAAGAAAGGAAGGGTTAAGGTTGGCGAGGCGCGGCGTGGCGAAACGTGATTGTGGAGAAACCTGCATAAGTCAACTCGACGTTATGTTTCTCGGTCTTTTTAGGTAAAACGGTAGCGGCTCGTCTCGTCACTGCTCCTCCCGTGGACCCCACACCAAATCTATATTAATTATCAAACTTGTCTTTTCTTAATAACCTTACTTAATTCCACTCCATTTTTTAATAATACTTTTCTTTCTAATATTATTACTTTCTTTTTTTAAAAACAATTCTGCCATTTTAGCAAAGTATGATGTTTTTCCTTCACCATAGAAACGTTCGTGTTTTTCTTTATTCAAACTTCAAAATTCGTTTGAGAAATAAATTTTAATAAATACTATTTCTACAGCTTTTACGATCGGATAAGGATCAGAATAATAAATGCATAAATAAGAATATAAATGCGAACAGCTATTTTTTTTTTGTTTTTTAATTTAAAACGCGAAATCGAGGAATTGTTATTTTTTTAAAGAAGGTAGTAGCCACGAGCAAGCAGAAGAAGACAACGCAAAATGGATCTGAAATGCCCTTACGAATCCAAACGGGATCACTTCGCAGTGCGCCTCTTCGTCATTCATAAAAATTAGTTATTCCCCTTTAATAATAATAAATAGTTTTAAGAAAAAAATGTTTTCCAATATATATTTTTTGCGTGTGAGAAGAAACAATACTTTTATCCATTTTCTTGAATTTATTTATTCATTCTGTTACCGTAAATAATTTAATAGAATAAATGAACGTCACTTGGTTTTTGACTTGTATTAGGTACAGCGTTGAGTCGAGGAAACGGAACACTTTTTGGAGAAAACTGGGAGAGGTGAAGCGCACGCTCTGGAGTGGAAGGTGCGAGTGACGCGCAGGAGCAAGACAGGAATTTGCATCGTAAAATATGTGGGTGTGGTGTGGATTTCTAAACCCCGTTTGTTGTATTTAGGAGAATAGGCACGGAAAGAGGAAAAGAGCAATGGTTGTGGATAGCTTTTAGCTTTGCGTGAGTGCGTCCTTTTTATTCTCTTGTCCTCTGCTGCGTGCGTTCACTACAAAATTATACAAATATTTTATTATTTTTTAAACCAAATTAAATTAAAAAATATATTAAAATAAGGGAATTAAATTTCGTGAAAAATATATTCATACTTAAAATGTCCATATGTTTTAATCCAAATACGGTTAAACTTAATTTCTGGATAAAAAATGTTTAGTAAAAGTCATAGATTAATTTGCTAAAATTTTTGGAGACCACTTTATAGTTGGGTTTATGCAATCTTGTAGATCATCCATAAAACAATAACCATAAAAACAAAAAAAGTTAAGAGGAATCTATTCCCTTATCTTGTACATCTCCCAGCCGTTGGGTCTTCACACGTAATCCCATGACGATGGATTTGGACCGTTGGATGGGATCTGTACTGTAACACGGCCCCACCCGCACTCATCGCATCCACCGCCCACCCTTTTGGCCAAAACCGGCGAAAGCCGATTCTGGTTTGCTAACTAACTATCACACTGGGTGCCCGCATTGCAAGAGGAAAGTTTTGCACCGTTGGATCTGCACAATGGAGATTACGTTTTGACAATCAACGGTTAGCGATTCTAAGCGCGAAATTAAGAAGGGAAAGTCAATTTGGTTTCATTCAGACACAGTACTAAATGCAAAAAAAAATATTCTTATTTAATTATTAAAAAAAATTGTTTACGAACATCAATGAAAAAGATGAGATTGTTTTTTTTTTTAGGTTTTGAAAGAATATACCTTTTAATATTCGGATCCCAGAATGCACGTGCGATGTTTGAGGGTGAGTCATGGATGGGGTGACTGATCTCTCGCACACGCACACGCACACACCAAGTCATGAGTCACCAACACAAAACAGCATTTTCCGAAGATGATAATATTAATATAATGTGTCGTTCTTGTTTTTCAAGAAAAAATAGCGAAATAGGAAAAAGAAAAAGGAGCATGTGGATCTGGACTCTGGACTTTGAAGCATGTGTGCTTCTTTGTCCCACCAGATCTTCCTTCTATATCTTATTCTCACTACTTCCACTTGCACACTATCAACTTTTTCAAAAGACAAAAAAATTAAATAAATTTGTACAATTAGTACCTTAAAATTCATCTTAGAGGTGAAATTATCTGAAAATGTTTATTATTTTGATGGATGAGTTTGAGAAAATGAATAGAAGTTGGAGAGTGAGAGTGACGTCTGTCCATCCCCAATTCTCCACAAACTTTATGATTCTTCTTCTTCTTCTTCCAATTCAAAGACCTTAGCAATGGTTAAGGTAACGCCACGTCTCACATCTTTTTCATAACACTAAAATCTTTCCTCCAACCAAAGCATATTCTACCTTCATTCTTTCTTACCATTTTCCTCAAATACCACTGCTCCGCATATACACTCAAATTGTTCATACTTTTTTACTAGAACAATTACTATACACGTTGAGCTACATTACAATAGTTGAAATTTAGTAAAATCATACAACTATCTGAATTTGATTTTTGTTACTTTAAATAAGGTTAAGAATAGAGAGGAGGAATAAAAGAGAGTGTGTGTAGTTGGCGATGGGTGCATAAGGCATATTCGTAAAGATGTATTGAAATGTAGTTTCTCCATGCTTCACCCATAGTGCACTATCTACGGAATATAAAAAACTGTGGTGAGAAGAGCATCGACATATAACATATTCTTATGCTTGTAATAATGTTACCGTCCCAACAATCTACTCTTCACTCATCTCTGCTATTGTCTGGTTGGAAGAACAGAACATGTTCTTTTCCAATAATGGTTCCTTTAAAGGAACCTCCACCATGTCGCTGCTGTTTATAGCAATCATTCACATTTTATACTACATTTCTTCTTTTCTGCGCCTTCCAAAAATTCCTGCCCAGTTTCTCACTGGGCCTTCTGTGGGCCAATCTTCAAGATATTTTGCCCAATTTCTTTTGGTCCAGGAGTTGGCACACTGCTTGCAAAACTTCACTCAAATGAGTTTCCAATTTCTGATTTCGATTATTTAATCCAAAAATTTTAGACGCCAAATTATTGGTTTGAATAGAAGAATTCAGTTTAACTGTATTTAGAATTTATTTTTTAAATATGTATTTTAAAAAATAAAGTTTAAATTTTATAACAATAAACATTGGTCAGTTTTTAAATGTTTATAATTTAAAAATATAAATATTGACACTTTTCTTTATCTATATACAATAACAGTGGTACGAAGACTTTTTTTAATTTGTACTTCTTTTATAAAGTTTGAAATGCTATAATTTTAGTTAATGAAAATTCTTATAGAGTATTGAAATTTTAAGTATCCTCCTAGTTTTTTTATCCAACAATTGTATTTCTCCCTAAAAAATAGTTAACTCTCTAAAAGAAATTAATTAACTTCTTATAATTTCTCGTTTAATGAACTCAATTTATCTCATTTAAACACGTTAGTAAAACTTGTAAACTCAATTTCTTAAAAAGACTTATAATATGAGACCAGCTTTCCCATCTTCTCTGCATGTGTTGTTTCTAAAGGGTTTGTGTGTTCGTTTTAAGAGAAAAACACAGCTCAATCTATGAAATTTACTATTACAGACTAAATAAATATGTAAAGTAAATCGTTAAAAAATAATAGGGACAATTCAATTGTTTACAAAATCTTATTGAAACAATTAAAATGTTTGGCACAATTAAGCAACATTGAAATGTGAATCCAGTGCAGAATATTAACTAACACCCAGAGAATGTAAGCCATTAAAAATATTATGTTTAAAACCCAAATGTTTTTAACAAAGTTTCCGCGAGGTCAAACCTTATTAAGAAATTTTAATTATAACAAATTGTCAAGAAATAAATTCTAAATATTATATAAACTTATATAGTAATAAGTTCTAAAAATCGTTTGAAGACAAATATTATCATGACAGATATCAAGTTCAAGGGACTAATTACGAAGTACCAGCTTCCGGATTTTTTTTTTGTTAAAATAAATATTTTGAAAGCGTTGAGTTCAAATTAACAGAAAATATAATTTATGTTATAGGAAATTGAAAGGCGGAGACTTTAATAACGAGGACTCCTAGAGTTTTTATTCTCCTAATCCTAATTTTATAGGAGCCATAATTCAACGCTCAATTACCCTTATTTTCTTTTTGGATTTTCTTTCAATGATTTTTCAAGAAAAAAACCTAAAATTAGTTCTCATTTGATCATGTAAATGTATTAACTCAGCAGAGGATGCTTAGCTAAATTGACTAACCTAATTGAAAACTCGAAACTAAAGGAAGATCATACAATACAATAATCCGAGACCCAATTATTCTATGATTCTACCGAGTAATTACGGTACAATCGTCATTAATTGATTGATTAAAAACATGTCGAGAAATATGAATTCCAAAAACAAGAAAATAGGATGCGTTAAAAGGCTACAAAATAATTCTAGATAAGGATATAGTTACCCACGACAAGAGAAAACTAAAGCAGTATAGAAATACATTAAGAAATTAGGTAAATGAAATTTATTTTTTCAAAAATTCTAGAGGAAATAAGATATAATTGATCAGTCAAAGTAAAAAGCAGCAAAGCAAAACCAACCAGAAAGATGAGCTCAGTAGCAAAATTTGATAAATAAATCAAAGAACCAAAATCAAGCTCGTCATTGGACGACATGCTGGGGCAAGTGACATGTTATCAGTTAAGGTATGGCTCCGTTCTAAATACAATTCATTTCCCTGTTTTCCCTAAGAAGATCGAAAAAAAAAAAACAGAACAAACTTTTGTACAAGTACAAAAGGGCGGCAGCAGTAGAAGTTACATGCGAAGTTATGTTCCAGAAATCTACAGCGAAACTCACAAGACAGACGTGATTCCAAAGGGCAATTTGGCTATAAGACAACAAACAGGTATAGGACCCTGCACAAAACTTCTTTGTCAACCAATTCAATACTTTAGATACCTCACCAGGCCCATACAAAATCAAAAGATGTTGGCAATTTGATGCCGGTATTTCTTCAAACACACAAAGAGGAAATTCTTGAGTGAAACCCATTCAAGTGGAATCTCCCAAAGTAGTGTATTCTTGCTTGCATAAATTACATCCCCAGTCAAAACATTGTCACCGATTCATGCTACACATGGTAATTCATTCCAACCTTAATCAGAGAAATCTGAGGAATGTTTAGACCCACTGCAGGAGACCGACAATTTTTCCGCAGAAAAGAGTAGAGGTTGATAGCAAACTTCTTTATAAATGATGAGTTCCACTTGGCCTTTACGTGAGAATGACCTATTACATACGCTGCTCCAATGCGCTTGGCTTCTACAAGTTCCATGAGTTCTTCCTTGACACGTGGGTCTTTATATATTACATTTTGCAACTCAAATCGAATTCGCCGTCCAGTGTTGAGTTCAGGTGACTCCTGCTCGTACATTGCCTGCAGCCTCTTCAATGTCGGGGATTTACTGCTAGTGACAGTCAAAGCTCCAGGAAGATTAATATTGTTGCGTTCCTCAAAAGCAGGAGATTCGGACATAAGCAATCGTGTCCCAAATTTCCCTGATGTCCTAACCACTGCCATCCGTCCATCCACTGAACCCTCTGCATTTCCAGAGGCACCTTCTGCTTCCAATTGAATGAATTCAGCTATGCTCATCACTAGGTCATTTTCAAAATCATTTTCGTGGCTATACACATCTTTATAGCCATTTCGAACAATACAACGGTACATTCGGAAAGATTTGGGACCAATTCGGCCAATGAGGTAACGTTCTTCATGCGGCACACAAGGCACCGGTACAGTCTTCACACAAACAAAAACAACCACTTGGTAGAATGCTGGCAGATTTGTCAAGAAATGAGAAAAACTGGCAGGGACTCCAGTAGCCAATTCAGTGTAAATAAGGCCCATTCCAGGAACTCTAACAATCCCAAGACTAGGACCTAATCCAAGGATGGACCTCATCGAAATTTTGTCATGCATGTCAAGTAGATACTTTTTCCTAGAACCATAATGCCACACGTACATAACAAACATGAAGACCGCCGAAAGCACAAGTGGAATCCAGCCACCTCTGGGGATTTTCGTGCAATAGGATGACAGGAAAATAATCTCTATCGAACCAAAGAACAGAGCAAATGCCAGAGCAATTATAGGACTTTGATGCCATACAAGGATGATGACTAGTGATGTCAAACATGTGGTCACAAACACCAGAATTAGATATGCAATTCCTGTAAGCAAAAATTATGTTATTAAGAATCATGAGTTGAAAAACAGCGGTGAATGACAAAATTACACAGGACACCAACGTGTTTTCATTCACGATGATTGAACCATCTATAACACGTAATAAGTAATGTAAAACAAGTTTATTCACGGGTAGCACCAGCATAACTTTAACTCTAGGATCGAATATTGTGTTGCGAGATCATCAACAAAGCCTAACCTATTGGGAAGCTCTTATTTTAGCCAACTCTTTTAATCATACATAAAATTATTGAATGCAAATAAATGAAAGTAAAATTTCTGTACCAAGACTATAATTTTTTTTTCTTATTGTACTAAAAACAAAATATGTCAATACTTATTGTATTGAACCAACTATTTACCCAATACTTTGTTACTTTTATTGAGAATATCCATGATGTACTTGGGTATACTTAATGAAAGGTAGTTCAGAGTTTTGCTCACTTCTGTGGCTTTCTTTAATGACATCAAGAATCAGTTTGGGAAAACTATTAAATATTTTAGAAGTGATAAAGCCAAAAGAAAATTCATTAAACTACCATCCTTATCTTCACATAGCATTCTACATCAATCCACAAAGTCCTCACACACCTCAACAATATCAAATACCTAAAAGAAAATGTAGACACTTGGTGGAAACTACATGCATCCTAATTTTTAATGCTAATGTTCTTGTACACCATTGGAGTGATGTGATTCTCACTACATGATTTCTGATAAGTAGAATGTCCTCTTCTTCTCTTGTCAATCAAATCCCACACTCCCCTTTTCCAAATGAGAGCGGCTATTCCATATTCCCCCTTGGTTCTTTGGGTGTATATGTTCTATTCATTATGCTTCCCCAAACATGGATATGTTGATTGCTAGAGCAACTAACTGTGTTTTCTTAGGATATTCTTGTCTTAAAAAGGCTATAAATTCTATCTCGAAAGTCAAGAAAGTATTCCATGTTCATTGATGTTACCTTTTTTGAAGATACTCATTTCTTCTCTCCCTCGACAAAAGAACTTGTCTCCCTACAACAAGTGTTAATTGTCCCTTATTTTCAATTTGTTATATACTCCAAAAGAAAATCAGCCTCATTCACCAACAAATTGTCCTCCTGCAGTTGTTCCGTCCCCTCTTAGTATACCTAACAACAAATACAAATAATTTATACTACATCGTTTGCAGAGTGACCTGATTCATGTCCTTCACCAATAGACAACCCTACCACAAAGCCTACTAATGATGATGTTGGTTGGCCTATTGCCTTCATGAAAGGTATTTAGTTATCTGGAAACTCTCATCCTACTTATAATTTTTTCTTTTATCATCATCTATATGCTTCCTATGTCTCCTTTGTTTCACTTGAGAATTAAACTGTAAAATAATTCTAGAGGGCTTGATTGATCCCTCTCACAATCTTCTATTTATAAGAATAAATTGATACAAAAGTACATGATAAATAGGGTAACCCTAGACACAATATAATCATGATAAACAAGGTAATCTTAGACACAATATAATCATTATGTTATAGGAAATTGAAAGGCGGAGACTTTAATAACGAGGACTCCTAGAGTTTTTATTCTCCTAATCCTAATTTTATAGGAGCCATAATTCAACGCTCAATTACCCTTATTTTCTTTTTGGATTTTCTTTCAATGATTTTTCAAGAAAAAAACCTAAAATTAGTTCTCATTTGATCATGTAAATGTATTAACTCAGCAGAGGATGCTTAGCTAAATTGACTAACCTAATTGAAAACTCGAAACTAAAGGAAGATCATACAATACAATAATCCGAGACCCAATTATTCTATGATTCTACCGAGTAATTACGGTACAATCGTCATTAATTGATTGATTAAAAACATGTCGAGAAATATGAATTCCAAAAACAAGAAAATAGGATGCGTTAAAAGGCTACAAAATAATTCTAGATAAGGATATAGTTACCCACGACAAGAGAAAACTAAAGCAGTATAGAAATACATTAAGAAATTAGGTAAATGAAATTTATTTTTTCAAAAATTCTAGAGGAAATAAGATATAATTGATCAGTCAAAGTAAAAAGCAGCAAAGCAAAACCAACCAGAAAGATGAGCTCAGTAGCAAAATTTGATAAATAAATCAAAGAACCAAAATCAAGCTCGTCATTGGACGACATGCTGGGGCAAGTGACATGTTATCAGTTAAGGTATGGCTCCGTTCTAAATACAATTCATTTCCCTGTTTTCCCTAAGAAGATCGAAAAAAAAAAAACAGAACAAACTTTTGTACAAGTACAAAAGGGCGGCAGCAGTAGAAGTTACATGCGAAGTTATGTTCCAGAAATCTACAGAGAAACTCACAAGACAGACGTGATTCCAAAGGGCAATTTGGCTATAAGACAACAAACAGGTATAGGACCCTGCACAAAACTTCTTTGTCAACCAATTCAATACTTTAGATACCTCACCAGGCCCATACAAAATCAAAAGATGTTGGCAATTTGATGCCGGTATTTCTTCAAACACACAAAGAGGAAATTCTTGAGTGAAACCCATTCAAGTGGAATCTCCCAAAGTAGTGTATTCTTGCTTGCATAAATTACATCCCCAGTCAAAACATTGTCACCGATTCATGCTACACATGGTAATTCATTCCAACCTTAATCAGAGAAATCTGAGGAATGTTTAGACCCACTGCAGGAGACCGACAATTTTTCCGCAGAAAAGAGTAGAGGTTGATAGCAAACTTCTTTATAAATGATGAGTTCCACTTGGCCTTTACGTGAGAATGACCTATTACATACGCTGCTCCAATGCGCTTGGCTTCTACAAGTTCCATGAGTTCTTCCTTGACACGTGGGTCTTTATATATTACATTTTGCAACTCAAATCGAATTCGCCGTCCAGTGTTGAGTTCAGGTGACTCCTGCTCGTACATTGCCTGCAGCCTCTTCAATGTCGGGGATTTACTGCTAGTGACAGTCAAAGCTCCAGGAAGATTAATATTGTTGCGTTCCTCAAAAGCAGGAGATTCGGACATAAGCAATCGTGTCCCAAATTTCCCTGATGTCCTAACCACTGCCATCCGTCCATCCACTGAACCCTCTGCATTTCCAGAGGCACCTTCTGCTTCCAATTGAATGAATTCAGCTATGCTCATCACTAGGTCATTTTCAAAATCATTTTCGTGGCTATACACATCTTTATAGCCATTTCGAACAATACAACGGTACATTCGGAAAGATTTGGGACCAATTCGGCCAATGAGGTAACGTTCTTCATGCGGCACACAAGGCACCGGTACAGTCTTCACACAAACAAAAACAACCACTTGGTAGAATGCTGGCAGATTTGTCAAGAAATGAGAAAAACTGGCAGGGACTCCAGTAGCCAATTCAGTGTAAATAAGGCCCATTCCAGGAACTCTAACAATCCCAAGACTAGGACCTAATCCAAGGATGGACCTCATCGAAATTTTGTCATGCATGTCAAGTAGATACTTTTTCCTAGAACCATAATGCCACACGTACATAACAAACATGAAGACCGCCGAAAGCACAAGTGGAATCCAGCCACCTCTGGGGATTTTCGTGCAATAGGATGACAGGAAAATAATCTCTATCGAACCAAAGAACAGAGCAAATGCCAGAGCAATTATAGGACTTTGATGCCATACAAGGATGATGACTAGTGATGTCAAACATGTGGTCACAAACACCAGAATTAGATATGCAATTCCTGTAAGCAAAAATTATGTTATTAAGAATCATGAGTTGAAAAACAGCGGTGAATGACAAAATTACACAGGACACCAAAGTGTTTTCATTCACGATGATTGAACCATCTATAACACGTAATAAGTAATATAAAACAAGTTTATTCACGGCTAGCACCAGCATAACTTTAACTCTAGGATCGAATATTGTGTTGCGAGATCATCAACAAAGCCTAACCTATTGGGAAGCTCTTATTTTAGCCAACTCTTTTAATCATACATAAAATTATTGAATGCAAATAAATGAAAGTAAAATTTCTGTACCAAGACTATAATTTTTTTTTCTTATTGTACTAAAAACAAAATATGTCAATACTTATTGTATTGAACCAACTATTTACCCAATACTTTGTTACTTTTATTGAGAATATCCATGATGTACTTGGGTATACTTAATGAAAGGTAGTTCAGAGTTTTGCTCACTTCTGTGGCTTTCTTTAATGACATCAAGAATCAGTTTGGGAAAACTATTAAATATTTTAGAAGTGATAAAGCCAAAAGAAAATTCATTAAACTACCATCCTTATCTTCACATAGCATTCTACATCAATCCACAAGT